GATAGTTGATAGGTTGACGAAGTCTACTCATTTTTTAGCTATTAAGATGTCATATTCTCTCAACAAGCTAGCTAGATTGTAAATTGATGAGATTGTTAGATTGCATGGTGTACCTGTATCCATTGTCTCTGACAGGGATCCACGTTTTACTTCGAGGTTTTGGCCTAGCTTACAGACTGCGTTGGGCACTACTTTGAAGTTTAGTACAACATTCCACCCACAAACAGATGGACAAACAGAGCGTACTATTCAGACATTAGAAGACATGTTAAGAGCTTGTGTCATGGACCTTAGAGATAACTAAGATGAATATTTGCCTTTAATTGAATTTANACTGCGTTGGGCACTACTTTGAAGTTTAGTACAACATTCCACCCACAAACAGATGGACAGACAGAGCGTACTATTCAGACATTAGAAGACATGTTAAGAGCTTGTGTCATGGACCTTAGAGATAACTGAGATGAATATTTGCCTTTAATTGAATTTACTTATAATAATAGCTATCAGAGTTCGATTCAGATGGCACCATTTGAAGCTTTGTATGGGAGGAAGTGTAGGACCCCAGTGTGCTAGAGTGAAGTGGGTGGGAGGAAGTTATTGGGTCCAGAAATTGTGCAAATGACTACTGATCAAATTAAAGTCATACAGGAGAGTTTACTTAGGGCACAGAGCATACAGAAAAGTTGTGCAGATAATCAGCGTTGTGATTTGAAATTTAAGGTGGGTGATTGAGTATTCGTACGTGTATCACCTTGGAAAAGGGTCATTCGTTTTGGTAGGAAAGGAAAGTTAGCTCCTAGGTATATTGGTTCGTACAATATTGTAGAGCGGATTGGAGCTGTTGCATACCGGTTGAAGTTACCAATGGAGTTGTCCAGGTTGCATGATGTATTTCATGTTCCTATGCTACGAAAATATNGGGTCATTCGTTTTGGTAGGAAAGGAAAGTTAGCTCCTAGGTATATTGGTTCGTACAGTATTGTAGAGCGGATTGGAGCTGTTGCATACCGGTTAAAGTTACCAATGGAGTTGTCCAGGTTGCATGATGTATTTCATGTTCCTATGCTACGAAAATATTTGTCTGACCCATCACATGTGTTGACTACAGAACCGATCGAATTAGTCGAGGATTTGACTTATGTAGAGCAGTCGGTTTAGATTTTGGATAGGAAAGAGAAAGTATTACGCAAGAAGACGATAACGTTGGTAAGGGTTTTGTGGCGAAGTCACTCAGTAGAGGAAGCAACATGGGAGACTGAGAAAAGTATGCGAACTCAATACCTTCATTTGTTTAATCCAGATAAGTAATTTCGAGGACAAAATTTTATTAGTAGGGAAGAGTTGTGAGACCCGATCATGCATTGCATACACATTAGCATAATTATGTGGACTAATTGCAATTATGTGAAATTATTTGTTAGATGAAATTTTGTGTACGAAAATAGTATTGGGTTAATTTTGAAATCACTTAAGAATTTGGGGGGAGGCAAATAGAATTATTAAGTTTCATGAAATATCTTTATACATGTGTCAAGGCTAAGGTGGAGGGTCATTTTAGAAAAGTCAAGTGCATGTGTGTGTGTGTACCAAGTGTATGTGTGTCTTAAGGTGTAGTAAAGTGTGTGTGTGTGTGTGTGTAATTCATGGAACAATGTGTGTGTGTGTGTACTTTAATATGCAGTAAAGTGAGTGTGTTTAAAAGACAAACTAGTGGGTGTGTGTGTGTTCTGGTTTTTGTTGAAACCGTGAGTGAGGGAGAGTAAAGGAGAGGAAGAAGAAAGAAAAAAAAAGAAGAAGAATTTGGGGGCCTCCATGCCAAACCAAAAGGAAGAAGAAAACAAGAAGGTAAGGGGGTGTGTGTGTGTTCATTTTAGTGTGTGTGATTAATTTTAAGTATTTGCGTATATGTGTGGGACTGTTTTAGTGTAATTTCAAAGCATATTTTGGTGAGTTTAAATTAAATGTATTAAACATAATTAGTGGGTTGTTTTATGTTAAAATAATGGGTTGTTTTATTTTAAGTTCAAAACAGATTTTATTAAGGGTGTTACACAAAATTAGGGGCTTTTTTGGTATTGATTAAATGTGTATGTGAATTTAAGTGTCGTGATTTTAAAAGAAAAGTATGATAGAAATTAGAAATGGGTGTCGGTAATGCCAATCCTCTGATTTCTAAATACTATTATTACATGTGTGAATTTTAATCCAAATGACCTAAAATTTGCATGCATCATTTTTAATTGATGCTTGATGTGATAATGTAAACTTCAACTGCAAATGAATTTAATATCCGGTGCGGAATATACGAAATGCCGGAAGTGCAATTTTTAGGATTTTGGGTCGAAATGTGTGGAAAAGGGGCTCCAGTCAATGTGTTTGACCTACTAAATCTTAATTGTGATTAATGTGAGTGGTTTTGAAGATTTGAGAAGAAATATGATCCCTAAATCTAATGTACCATTATGTGAGTGAACAGTGCAGTAATCGGGGTTACCGGGACACTTTAGGTTGAATCATCGTGCATGCATTGGTGATTAATTATTCAATGTGATAAACATGTTAATATTGATGTGTTAGGTGGAACAAGTAGAACAGTTGGTATAGAGACGGATAAAAAAACACCGGAAGAATCTACCGATAGAACTGAAGGGTCGTAGATTGGAATATTTGAGGTGGGTGTATACCTTTATATGTTTTGAAAATTCTATTATAAGATGATGTTAGATGATAGAATTTAATAGCATTTCTCCAAGATTATGTGCCATGTACTTATATGATTGGATGATGCTTTGTATTATGCATTATGTATTGTGTATTTTGGAATCTGGCGCACTATTTGAGACTAGAGCGTTAATGCCTGATCACTGGGCGTGTAGTGGTGTGCTAGCACTATGGTGTTCCCGAGAGGTTCAGGAGACACGAATCCATATAAGATAGATTACCCGATGAAGGGTATTATAGATGTGTTGTGGCTTGTGAATATTTGGGAATTGGATTGATGTTGTTGTTTAATACGTGTATTTATGTAGTATTTACCTACTTTTGTGTATTACTATCATTTTCNATAAGATAGATTACCCGATGAAGGGTATTATAGATGTGTTGTGGCTTGTGAATATTTTGGAATTGGATTGATGTTGTTGTTTAATACGTGTATTTATGTAGTATTTACCTACTTTTGTGTATTACTATCATTTTCATTTCATATACGGCATGTATACCCACTGAGCGCATGGTTTAGCTCACACCCTTATAGTTTCTCCTTTTCAGGTACAAGAGAGGGAGACACAGACCAGTCCACTGTTAAAAATGTTGATTTTTGTACAAAGTATGATATTCTGTTCGTTATGTATTTAGTTTTAAATGAGTAAATGATACTGGTTGAGGGATTGTATAATTATTTGTTGGGTGGTATATTATGTTAAATGAGAGATTATTATAGCAGGTCAATAGTATATATATTTGTAAACAGACTCAACTGACATACTTTATGATGTATGCTATGTGGGTGTGGGATTTTGTATCTGTCTATAACCTCGAAAACAATCAATTGGTACAGGTATTATATATGGTATAGGTTATGAGACAAGTTTACCATCATGTTTATTAACTAAGGGGATGGGTGGTATTGTTGCACTTGTAGGATTAATTAGTGTTTTATTAATCTAGATTATATATATATAAACAGGTGTATCAAAGACCTAGTCGCGTCTCATCCTTGGGAGACCCGGGATGGGGCGTGACAAGATTCCACAAGGTATTTGGAAATAGTTATGTATCAAAGTTGCTCCGAAGGTTAAAGCCTTTTTGTGGAAAGTAATTAATGGAGCTTTACCAACCAGATGAGATCTATGGAAGAGAAAGATAACCAAAACTCCAACTTGCCCTAGTTGTGGTGAAAAAGATGAAACAGTGGAGCATATGTTTTTGCTTTGTCCTTGGAGTAGTAAGGGTTGGAAAATTTCCCATTTAAACATCAAGATTGATCGATATGAGGTGAAGAGAACAGAAGACTGGCTAATAAATCAGCTCTGAAAGTTAAAAGACATGGACAGAATGACTAATGGGCAAGCCTTATTGGCTTTATTAACGTTGGCTGATTTGAAAAGGTCGTAATGAATGGATCTATCATCATAGACAACCACAAGCCAGAGAAGTATTCAATCAAGGTTTGGGAGAAGTAGCTGAACTCCACTCCAAGCAAGAAACTCAGGAGGGAACAGTTGGAACAGATAATACAGAATCTCATTGGCATCCCCTTCAAATGGATGGGTGAAATTGAACTGAGATGGAGCTTATGAAGAGAAACGAAAAAAAGGGCCTATGGAGTGGTGATACAAGACCATTTAGGAGTTTTTCTTAAGGGAGAAGCAGGAACCCTTGCCTGCTACACTAGCCTTAATCACATAAGCAATTGTTGTGAGAAAAGCTTGCAGACTGGTAATGGAGGAGACAATGCTGCAATAATTGAATCAGATTTCATGCTTCTCATTGACTCCATCACTAAGGGGACATAATAGTGAGGGACATATGGCTTATATGCTTCCAAGATTCCTTTGGTCAGATTTGAGAAAGTCAAGCGCTCAGCTAACACTGTAGCTCACAAAGTTGCTACCAAAGCAATAGAAGGGACGCTTCCACCTCAATGGCTTACTTTCATGCCTCTCTGTTTGAGTGTGTTCATTACGAAAGAAGATAGGGAGGGAGTGGGATAGTGGTTTGTAAACAGTCTTTAGTATTATTAATGAAAAGTTATCTTTCATGACCAAAAAAGAGAGAGAGGACTTGGTCAATGAGCTTCACAAGAGATATTTTGTTTCAAAAAAAATCATATACCATTTTTAATAGCGAATGAAATAGACGACAATCTTTCTCATGCAAAGGCCCCTTATAGCTAAAACCTCCACAGAAATATTGAAATGAAATTTTTTTTCATAGAATATACAAATAAAAAAAACTGAAACCTATTCACCCCTGCAGATGAAATACTAATTCTTCCTAACCTTGGATACTAAATTAAAAACCTTCTATTCCATATCTTTCTTTCCCAAAATTGTCTACAAATGTTATTTCAAAACGTATTTCATCTTTGTACAGTGCAATTTCATTAAACAGATGTATAGCATAATGTGTGTGAGAATCTAAAGAACTAAAAGTACTCAAAATCAACATAAGAAGGATGACTAGAACTACTCTTGTTCTTATTATAAACTCCAATGTCTGCCATCTTCTTGTCCGAAGGGGCTACCTCTTTAATAGCAAAATGCCCGAAGTCTACTGGTTCTGGTATGTGGGGAGGAATGGTGCTCCTCACCAGAGCCCAGTTCACACCCTCAAAGAATGGATGTTGCTTTATTTCCGTAGCACCCCTCTTGTATGCGATTCGCTTACCTGGTTCCTTCACCAAGAGCCCCCGTATAAGATCACGTGCCATAAAACTTACTTGTGAGCTTTCAGGGAATCTTAGTGGCTGGCCTACAACGTTAAAAAGTGTGGCACGATTTCCTGAACCCTTGAAAGGAGTTGTCCCATGCAAAAGCTCATATAAGAAGATGCCAAACGTCCACCAGTCCACTGCACTACCATGACCCTCTCCACGTATTATCTCAGGGGCAAGATATTCGTGTGTCCCAACAAAAGACATAGAACGCACATTACTAGGCTCTGCCATTAGCTCTGGTAGCGACCCTCCAACAAAGAGGCCGAAATCCGATTTAGATTTGCGATTCTTCTTTGTAGGTAATATGCGTGGTAGAAAATTTGATGGCTGGATACAACCAGGCACTATATTCTCGTCATCTAAAATGCCACCAGCACCAGCACTTCCATTACCTACATGTACAGATGACGACTTGACAAGTGTTGGGCTAACAGAGCAGCGAAGTGAAAGGTCGAAGTCAGAGAGCATAATATGACCTTCATCTCTAACAAGAACATTTTCTGGCTTCAGATCTCTATACACAATACCAAGCATATGCAGATACTCAAGAGCTAACAATACCTCTGATGCATAAAACCTGCTAGAATTAAATGATGAAAGACCATACCAAATCAATTTGCTATCTGAAATAGTCTATGATGTGAAATAAAAATTTAGCAAAAGCGAGTAATAATACCGAAACAAAAAAAAAAACATTCTCTACTGCAAGATACCAAGGAGAGAAAAATCAGCAAAGCCAGAAGCTATTACCTTGAAGATGTCTACAAGAATGTTTTGTATCTACACACAATTGAAGAAAATGATAATGTTCTTAAAACTGTCATCAAGCAGCATTTGCAAAACAGAGAGTAATATCTGAACTTTTGGGTCCTTCAAGAGTCTAGTGTGGTCAAATGATGAAAAAAAATATTCAGTACAAACTTAGTTCTCAATATTTGACTGGGAGATATATTATCGGCAATTAGACATGAAAGCTAGTCATTTCTTCTGCCAAAAAGGAGACAACATCATCTGACTCGACTCAACAATGCCTTACCCAATACCCGAACTATTGGAGTTGGCCATAAGAATCAAAAATTGTGCCATTCTATATCGTCTAAGGACATATAACTAACTCATGTTGCATGCTGCTATATCTCATTCACTATCGCAGTCCATGTTATCTTAGATCTACTCTTCTTAACCGGACTGTCACAGAATTATGTCACTTTTCATAATGATGCCATAATGCCATTACTGGTTTGTTGTTAAGGCTGTTATTTCCATTTCTACTCTGTTATTCAATGGTTCATACCTTGGTAATTTAGTATGAGAAATGGCTTAGATCAACGGTAGAATGTGTTTGGCTATCAAACATGAGAACATAGGCATTTATGTGGTTTCTCTCTCCCATCACTTGGAATAAATTGAATTCTTCCTCGGAATAATGATCCTTTTAAGATTTTAAACTTGATCAATTCCTTTCATATATCACCTTAAAAAATTAATAGGTTAAAAGAAAATAAAGCAAAAATAAAACTCTAGATCCTTTTGGTATTCACCTTACATGTTTGCCCAATCTAACAATGCTGATTTTTGAAAAAAATAGTAAGTGAATTTAGTTCCCAAGAGGGAAAAGAGAAGATGATGACCTAGGCATCAACATCGATTAATTGAATGAAGAAAAGGAATCAATAAATCCAAGCAATTTGGATAAGGTTCCTTGAGTTTCACAAAGAACAAATACTTGTACCAATGGTGATAGCATGACGTAGAATTTTTTGAAATAATAAGCTTTATATTATTAAGGTGTTTGAGTATAACAGTGGAGGTTGAAATTCCACCAACTACTATCTTGAAAGGAAAAACAGATAAAAGAAAAACATATGGGGATATGGCAAGAACTCTTTCAATGCTCCTCAAAAACTTAGCAAATTTTGAATTTATCAAAAAGTACTTTAATTACTCTAAAGGCCAATGATTAGTAATTATTTATGTTAAATTCGGACAAACAAAGAAAAGTTCAGTGTTAATCTATTATTCTTTTTCCTTGATGGAAAAACAGAACATAAAAATACAACAATCAACAGATTCAACACCTGACATAAGCAATACCAATGTCTATTCCTAAAATTTTTAAATCCCAAATCAATTTTAATGACCTAAAAGATAAATTTTTTAGAATAAACAATGAAGAGAGGCAGAAATATAATAAACTAAAAGAATTAGTACTGACCGAGCAGCTTCCTCGGTAAAATGTTTGTTGGGCTGCTTCTGCCGAAGAGTATGAAGGTTACCTCCACTGCAGAACTCCATGACCAAGCAATAAAACTTTTCTGTCTCAAAATAAGAATATAAGGTGGGCAAGAATGGGTGGTCAAGAAGACCAAGAATCTCCCTTTCTGTTTGAGCGCGAAGTAGCTTATTTCTGCTTGCAAGTGACCCTTTGTCCATGACTTTCATAGCAAAGTATGTGTTAGTCCCTCTGAGTTCAACAAGGTAGACACTTCCAATGTCTCCATAGCCAAGTCGCTTCAAGAGCTGAAAATGGTTGAGACCAAGAGGAGAATCTTTGGAAAAAACCAAGTTAATTGCATCCCATCGGACATCACCACCAGTGTGGGGCTTGAGGGGTGCACCAAAGCTCTCTAAGCTACCACAACGACTGCTATTAGCATCACTTGCCTTTGTGTTCGGTGATAATGTTGATACTCCTGATGATGTTGTCAGGTATTCAGAATTTGTGAGCATCCTCGGGCTGAGCAAGCGGCACGGAAAAGCTGTGGAATTGGCACCAGTCTTCGTGCCTGAGTCAACCTTTTTGGATTCATATGGTGGGTTATTAGATAAACTTGCATCAATTTTGGATTTATAAATCAATATATCCTGGTCTAGATAGTGAATTATAAGGTAAAATGCTACTTTTTGCTACTCGGTCAGTTTTCTTGCAGTTCTGGTTAGAAGTCGATATGGCAGCACTCTTGATGACCAGGTTCTTTTTTTTTAAGGTTCACATGGTGATTGTTCTGATGAGATGGAACTCAACTGCATTAAAGGACGAAAATGTTATCCTTTCAATTGTTTTGATTTCTTACCCTCTAAATCATGCAGGACAAAAAAAAAAAAAAACCCAAGTTTAGCACAACTAAAGAAATACTAACCTAAAAGATCATCTCTCAAGTTTCACTCTTAGCATCATAAGCAGAATTGTGCTTAATAACAAGTATTTTAGTGAATCAAAAAATTAAAATAAAAAAGTTACGGTTGAAAATTGAGTTATTTTTATTTAATGGTGTGCTGAATATCAGAGAGTGGATACCTTAAAGGTTCTTATGTCATAATTCTTTGATACCCTATGATCAAAGTGCAAGATGCTTATTCTATATTTTTTTTATTTCAAAGGGATATCATCGCCCCTAAACCATCCACCATCACATCCTACAATTCTACTACCGCCACCAGATTTCCACCAAACAACCACTAGAGCCCCACCAAAACTAGACCCATCAAATCCGCCATCACTACTTCTGGAGCCCACTATAATCAGATCTGACACTAAATCTGCTCCACAGCATTATGAAACCTTCCACACTCACTACCCAACTTACCACGGCCACTTCCCAGTCCACCACCACCAGATCTAGAACCTTCTGCCCCTCCACATCTCCACTCTCGCCTTTATCAAATACATTCCTGCCACCAGCTCTTTGAACAAACAACCACAACTAGATACCCACCATAACTGAATCTGCCAAACATCTCTTCTACTCCCACCATTTTTGGCAACTTTAACCCCTTCTCATAAACTATATAACACCATCACCATATTCACCAAACGTCTACTTTGTGTCTTTGGAAGTGTCAGACCGGTCTTTCTTGCCTTTCTTGCCGCCTTCTTCCCTCTTTTTCTTTTCAGAAGAGCCTTGACTGNGTGTCAGACCGGTCTTTCTTGCCTTTCTTGCCGCCTTCTTCCCTCTTTTTCTTTTCAAAAGAGCCTTGACTGTTGCTTGTTTTGAAGTCAACTAGGACATCCGTAGCAACGATGGCAGTGGGCAAATCACGCACCCCCTACCTACGCAAACTTAGCCTGTGCCAAGCCTTGCAAACGGGACATGGAATTGAAGAGCTTGTCTTCCTTGGACATGTTCTTGATATCTAGCATCAAAGAACTGAATGAACGGTTCTCATGTGCTTAAGTTTCTTGAGCAATTCCCTAGCAATCCACATCGTGTTACTAGGAAGGAATTGATCCTTCAATTCCTTTTTTAGCGTCTTCCACGTCTCGATTTTGGCTCATCCCGCAGTAGCATCGTCCTCACTTCGGGTTCGCCACCAAAGCTTGGCATCCCCGAAGAGATACATGCTGGTTATTGTCACTTTCTCTCCCGCAAGCACATAAGCAGCATTTAAATACTTGTTTATGTCCCACAGAAAGTTCTTCAGCTCCTTGTCACTCCGGCTTCCTCTGAAGGCCTTAGGTTTAGGGACCTTGATCATTGAAGATGTCTCGTTTGCACAAGGTCGAGAATGCATAGCCCTTTTCACTAGGGTTAGTTCATCTTCAAATTTCTTGAGATTGGTCTTGATAGCATCATTGAAGGACATAACGTTCTCCATTATTGTCGTCATATCTTTCACATAACTGTTGAAGGCAATTATCAAGTCTGCGATCTGGCCTACATGTTCCACCATCTGCACAGACACTGGTTTCAGCATCACCAGCATGGACGCCCAAAAAATCCTCTAGACAAGTCACACATTCACATAGTTTAGTAGCGTTTCCATTAGCCATGATCGAAAACTGAAGCTCTGATACCAATTGTCATGGGGTCAATCTTCCATTTGAATTTTTGCTTTATGATGGCATTGAGATCCCACACTCAATCTCAGTTTATACACACAAACGCTTACAGAAATGCACACAATGAATAGAATATAGGCACAACAAGCAAACACACAACACATACAAGCTTTACAGGCTAATTGGCCCAACTTTTTTCTTTTTTAGCAAAGCTTAAAGGAACACTCAGTCAAGGGTCTGCTTACAAAACGTGTCCAACTCTCTTCTTTGCATTGCAGACCCAAGCATGTCTATTTATAGCATACAAAGTGGCAGTTACAAGCCCAACCGCCTAGACAACTGCAAAGCTACACCAGATTCACCCACAAAGCCACCTATAGTCTGCTGATAATGGTTGAGTCCCTCTGCCACTCCCACATTTACTGGTCATGGCAAGGGGCAATTGCAACTGCTGGCTAACCCAGCCAACAACTACCCTCAACTGTTGTACATGTTAGCATCTCCCTCATATTGTGCACATGCTAGAATTCTACACAAAACTGCCCCTACATGCCATGCACATGCTAATAAACCATCTGGAACCGTCACCATCTATAGTATACATGCCAAAACTGCTCATAATCGCCTCACATGTAGTGCACTTGCCTTCCTGGAGAGCCCATAACACCTAATTAGCCTTACCTTTGTGCCTAGCCATGCCCAACCAATGGCTTGGTCTTCCAAGCTAGCATTAGCCCACAATTCAAGCCACCTAGCTAGCCTTGCTTGTTTATGCCCAACGTGTCCATGCATTAGCTACCTCACCTAGCCATGCATGGGGTTGCAATCAACCCGCTGATTGTGCCTAATCGTGCCCATGCGTGAGCTACCATTTTCAGCCATGCATGGGTCTTCAATTAACCCACTAGTCATATCCAACATGCCCATTCATTGCCTGCCTCCCTTAGCCATGTATGGGGTTTCCACCAGCAACGGGTCCCTTCGATCATTGGCCCCACATCTCCGATCTCGGACTTTGGAATGTCTTGCCTCCACCCAAGGCAAGCATTTGTTGGGGTCGTGCCTTATTTCCATGTGCCAAGGCTTAGGGGCATAGGAGTCCCTGGGGAAGCTGGCCTGACACTCCTTCGCGAAGCACCCCCTATAATAGCGTTATGAAGTAAAAACTTAGTGACAACCCTAGACGTACTCTGAGCCAAAGAGTCATAATAACTTAAGCCTGGGGCATAGTCGCTGAATGTCGCTTGAGTCTTTACCAAACCATTGTAACCTAACAAAATACAAGTCCAAGTTCTTTAGGAAGCATCTTGTGCACAAAGCGTTTGCTTCACCAAGCAAAACCCAATTTGGCTAAGGCATGGGTGCCCTTGGGTGAGACCGCCCCATGCCAACGCCAAGCCAAAAGTTAAGAGGGTAACATCTACCTATTAGGGCAACTCCAGCCTAGCTGAACAAAATGGATAGTCAAAATATATTTAAATATTTTATTCTCTATCTTAGTTAGTCACTTTTTTAAGTTCACTCCAACTACGTTCTCTATTTTATCTAACTAGTTCAATTAATTTTCAATAATATAACTCAAAAATATCACGTGAGCTAACACATCAACGCCATGATGATGACATGGCATAATGACGTGTCATGCCACGTCATCAAAGTTTCAAATTTTTAATTTTATAAAGGTCATATTTACAACAATCATATTTTTTAAAATGTATAAATAGGACATTCCCCCTCTCATTGTCATATACTTCAAATTTATTTACTGGCATTCCACTTGTGCATTGTTTCTTTGTTGTGACTCGTCATTCTGCATTGAAAATGATTCTTAACGATTTTGACTCCGATGATGAATTGGAGATGTTAGCAGTTGCTACTATGGCAATAGAGAAACTCTGTACCGAGAATAGTTTCGCAGTACGTCGTGGTTCTATTCAAGGTCATTCTATTATTTTTCACAATCGAGTTGAAGGGCCTGAGAGACTTTATTGCAATTATTTTGCTAAATCGCTTACCTATCCTCCAAATTTATTTTGGAGGAGGTTTCGAATGAATCGATCTCTTTTCGTTTGTATTTTATTCATGATGGAAGCTTATGATCCATATTTTGTTCAAAAAAATGGTGCTCTTGAGAATATTAGCTTATCTTCCCTTCAAAAAGTAACTGTCGCTATAAGAATGCTTGCTTATGGAGTTGCAGCAAATGCTGTGATGATTATGTGAGGATCAGTAAAACACCGTAATAGAAAATCTACAAAGATTTATATCAGTCATAGTAAAATGAACCGGCAATTAAGAAACTTGATTGCGATTACAATCTGATTGAGGTTTGTATTCGTTGAAGTACTCCCAAATCTTACGTTTTAGATTTTTGCTCATTTCTATGCATGACATCCATGCTAATATTAAGCCACGCGAAGATTAAAATTAAGTCATCCTCAACTGTAAAGTTACTGCCTTGAACCTTTTTTGTGGCGGATTCTACTTGAGGTGACATTGGTGAATAATAACCAATGTGGTCTACTGATTCGGTGTTAAACTTATCTAAGTTTATTCTATCGTCCAAGATATTGGTGAAGTAATATTCATGTTCAAATGGTTCCATACGTAATGTCTAGAATTCAACCCAAAGCAGACATTATTCATGTAATTCAACTTAAACCATTTATTATCATCAATCCAACCAAAACCATACCATAACAATAATTCTAATCACACTTTAAATAATACATAGAAATTTAACACTCATCCACTTTAAATAACACAGACCAATTGCACGATACATGTCCAATATACCTAAGATTTCACATATACTTGCATTAATATTTCATAGGGTCTAAACTCAAATATTCCATTATACATAAAACTAAAAGGGGTTATCGGAATTTGGGGGGTCACAATTAGGGTTTTCATAATAGAGGGGTTTTGGAATTGGGGGTGGGGGGTAGGTGGGTTTAGAATGGGTTTCGGGGGGAAATGGGTTGTAGAATGGGGGGGGGGGGAAGGGGGGTTGCAGAATGAGGGGGGGGGGATG